ATGAGTTTGCCGACCGCTGAAAAGCTAAGAGGAATTACAAGATCTTTCAGACAGGTAGCCTAAGGCCCCAAAGTCCTCTAGCTCTGTAAGAGTTCTGACTCATTCGTTCACTCTGGGTGATCAGCAGTCCTTAAAATGAATGACTTCCTGGAAAAACTAAGCTCATAATATGTGGATAAAGGAGGAAAGGAAAGACTTAATACGGCTTTTAGGAGGTTTTTATTTTTAAAAGGTTGTTACAGAATTATCTGCTTGACTGGTTCTTCAATAGTTAGCAGAAGCTTTAACAAAGAGATATTTGTACTATAGAAAGGAAGCTTGAAAAAGTACACTGATCTCTTAATCATCCTTATAGTTTCTGAGTCACTGCTTTGCCGTGGGGCTGACATATATTACCACCTGGTAGTTATGCATCTATGTTTCTGAGTCAACCTTTGAAAATCTAAAAAATCCAAAAACAAAATGTCTGAGAACTGACGTTACAGGAAAACGCTTTGTCGTTTAACCAACAGCTCAGAGTTCATGGCCTCTCTCTTCACAGCCCACCATGAATGTGGGTCCTAAAGAGGAAATACAGACACCTGGAAGGCAGGAAAGAGAGATGTGCCAGTAAACTCTGGCCCGAGCCCTGCTGTGTCCTGACACGGCTTTCTGGCACTTGTCATTCCTTGTAGCTTTCCTTGCTACGTTAACGGCACAAGGATCTCTTGCGTTCAGTTCATAGGAACAAGCCTTCATTAGACTTCCATAGAAGCCTAGACCTATCTTCTCATCTCACAGAGCATCAGGTACAAGTATCGAGTGGCTGAACGAAGTAGGAACAGGCCTGGGCCACGCCAGTGGGCTCCTGTGACGGTAAAGCCATAACTAGAAGGAGTCAGCTGGCTCAGAGTTGAAGTGGTTTAGCTCTTCCTCATTATGAGTCAGACTGATTTCAGTAACTAAGACACCGGTCTTTCTTCTTCAAGGGCTGAAACACCTTAAGATCTACCCGGAGCTAAGGTAGAGGACTCACCTCTGACAGATCCAAGCAGGTAAAGACTCATGAGCAAGAGAAACTTCATCTGGATTTTGGGAAAGAGGGAACCCTGGTGGAGGGCACCCGAGAGCTGTGAAGAGAAACTGAGCAGAAGCTCCCAGTGCTGAGTCACTGCTTCTGGGAGTTCTAGAACCTCAGCATCACCCCATGTTTGCTAACAATGGGCTGTGCTCTGAGGTTCTCCAACAACGCATCACACTGTGCCAGTAGGGGTTATGTGTATGCCACATGCAAGGCGGTGTGTTGGGGCCCTCTGCCCTATTTTAAAAAATAACATATAGCCTTTGTAATAAAATTTAAAAGCTATATCCTCTCTTCTTCTAGTGTTCTTGGGAGTGAAGTGTGGCTGGCTGGTTATTTTCTCTTTGGCTCTCTAAATCAGCCCTTCATTGACTCTGTACCCCAGAAGGCTGACCTCTATTAACTTGATTCCCTGAGTGCTGATTGGGTTTGGATTCAGATTGGGTTTAGCCAATGGAAGATTGGAGGGAGGAAACAGACACACGCACATACAGAGGGAGAGGGAGGGAGGCTTAAAGCAAGCACATTTCAAAACACTTTGTAAAAGTATAATAAAAACAAACAGAAAAGGCAATAGAATGAAGAAGAAGGAAAGGAGAAGGAGAAGGAGGAGGAGGAGGGAGAGAAGAAGAAGAGGGAAAGAAAGAAAGAAAGAAAGAAAGAAAGAAAGAAAGAAAGAAAGCAAGAAAGAAAGAAAGAAAGAAAGATTGAGATTGAAGTACTTGTTATTCCTATTCCTGCCATTCTTTCCATGATGGAACTTCTGTTGAGTGTCCTCTCCTTCATGGTTCCAGCTCTCAGCCAGGCTATTGTAACATGTTTTTCTTCCCCTGCCCCCTTAGGCCTAAGGACAATGATAGTTTCTTTCTGTGCTAAAATCTGGATGCCCCAACTCCCCTTCCTTCCTTCCTTCCTTCCGTTTCCTTAACCCTGCCCACTTCTGTAAATAGTCTCATCATAAAGGTCTATATCAACCATGGTTTTGGCAGGAAGCAGATGGCAAACTCAAATGGGTAACGAGAGAATTTACATGCTATGGGCACAGAGAAGGGATCAACAAGGGATAGTGGAAAGCTGTGCCTTGAGCTGTATGTTCTTTCTCAGGAGTCGCCAAGCTGAGGGGACAGATGCAGTGAGGCATCCCCCTGGAATAAAGCTGGAACTTTGGGGGAACTGGGTGGTAGAGAGCCCCCAGCCTTCATCTACTTCTTCCCTGCCTGCCTCTCTTGGACCACAGTGTGCTGGATCTAGGGTAGATGATATTCACCATTCTATAATTATCTGTTCAATGTGTGTTTCCTCCATTAGACTCTAAGCTCCTTGAAAGTAGGTCCCTGCCTGAGTCACTGTTGTATCCCCAGTACCTTAGCAGCATATTTGCCACATTAAAGGTCCATAATACATTTTTTTCTGAATGAAGGAATGAATGAATTGCCTTTTCTGGGCCTCTCTCTGCCTCCTGGACGAGAATCTATACAGAGCATCTAAAATGGACTGGCTGAGGATCCTGGGTCAGTTGGAGAAGCAGGATCACCAGGGGACAAAAGCTGCAGAGGAGGCCTACCCAGGAGGACAAAACTAAGATTGAGTTGGAGGACAAAACTAGAATTTCAAGGTCAGAGGCTGTGCTCATTTGGAATAAAGAAGAGCATGAAAAAACACGCTACCAATAGTTCCTTTCTTTCATGCAGAGTAAGTTTGGAGAAACAATTATGAGGTCACATTGAGTCAGACTTTTGATGCCAGAAGCAGTGGAAATTAGTGGAAAGGAAGAGGCGCTGTGGTCTACACCACCCCCCAGTTTAAAGTTTAGCAGCACCCCTCTTTCCAATTAGTATTCCTTTCCGGGTCATCCCTGTCTCACCCCTCCCCCATATTGAGAGATAGGACTTTATAAAGCCTGATTGTTCTCTCCTTAAACCCCGTGCTCCAACTTTTTCGTCCCTCTTTTTTTTTTTTTTTTTTTTTTTTTTAGGTTGGCTTTATGGGACTGTAGCCCAGTCCCACTCACGGTGGCTTTCCTTGAGTTCTACTTTGGAAATCTCTTTCCTATGTCCAGTAGCCTGGCACTTCTAAGCCAACCCTGTGAGTGTCTGAGCACACCATATAAGAAAACATGATGATGGAGCATTCACTGTGGAACTTGGAGCGTTCTGGAACTAAGACATCCAGAGGTGCTCCAGTCCCCGCCTCCTTTCTCTCCCGATCTCTTTCGTCCTAATGTTCCAGTTCCAGTGCCCCTAAATGAACCCAAGAATCAGCCAGCTCAGCCCCTATAATGTTCGTGGCCTGACTGAAAAAAAGGTGAGCTGAGCCAATCAGAGTCTTCTCCCAGGAATTTGCCGTTGAGACACAGAAAGACAGAGATAATTTGCGAAAGATCATTTAGCCTCATGTGCTGAGACCACTATTTGGGCCAAAAGGAGGGTGAGCAAGCTGAGAAGTCCAGGAGATGGTAACAGAGAGAAAAGAACACAGAAGAGATGGGAGACATCTTGCCTCATTCAGTAAACCTTAACTAGTGGGAAATTACATAGATGTCCACGCAGGGAACACACACCACCCGGACTGGGCCACGTGGAGACCTGAACACATCTGTGACCTGAGATGGGGTTCTGGCTACACGGCCGTGCTAGTTGTAGTTATCTTGTAGGACTTTGTTTCTTATAGTCTTCCTCCCTTTGTCCCTACTGCTCTTGTTCTAAACTCACTTTCCTCTATTCCTTCTATTTTGAGACTTCTGCGTACTCACAACTCCTACTGATTCATAACTTTTGCTTACTCACAGCCTCTGAATGTTCATTACATCTGCTTACCCTTGACTTCTGAGGCGTGCCTTTGTCTATCTTTTGATCCTAGTGTGTGTTGTTGACGCTCCTCACATTTGGTTTTCTTTGTTGTTTGTTAATCCCACGCCCCTGAGGATATTTTTCCATTGATTTTTAGGGAGAGTAGGAGAGAGAGGGAAAGACAGACAGAAAAACCGATGTGAGAGAAACACATTGATTCGTTGCCTCCTGCACGATCGCCGACTGGGGCCTGGGCCAGGGAGGAACCTGCAACCAAGGTACATGCCCTTGCCCTTGACCGGAGTCGAACCCAGGACCCTTTGGTCCGCAGGCCAAGTTTCTATCCACTGAGCCAAACCGGCTAGGGCTCATATTTGGTTTTCAAGAGAGAATCTCAGTGGTCTAACCTCTCACTGTCATCTCTTTTGCACAAAATTCCAATGCCAGGCTACCCCGTAGGCCATTTGTGTGATTCACATGGCCAGAATGGAGGGTATCTGTGATCCCTAGCATGGCGATCCCCATGAAAAGACCTAGGAAAGGGGTTGTAGCCTTGGCAACCATTTTCAGGCTTCCCAAAAGTTAGAGGGGGTGAGGGTGCAGTAAAATTGGAAGGCATGTTGCTTCCCCTGGGCAGTGCTACCACCAGGACCTTTTGCAACCTGTCCCCACATATACTTCCATAGGCTCATCTTTCTGCTCCACCCCCTCTCCATCTGCATCGCAAGCTCTCTCCCAAGCCACAGGCATACACAGCTGCCAGTTTTTTCCTGAGTATGCAGCTGTTAAGCCCAGATTTCAGGATCCCCCAAAAGACCATCAGGGAGCCGAGTCCGATGCAAAAGCAAAAGAGCCTTTATTCGAGCTAGCTCGAGCTCCCTGTCTACCACACTCGCCAACGCAGCAGCAGGAGGCAGAGAGAGAGAGCTCTGTGGAGAGAGGGGTTTTATAGGGGGGTTGCAGTAAGGGGAGGAGAGAGGACTGTGGGCCCTGCCGATTGGCCAGGCGCAAGTCGGGGTCTTGTTACACAGGATGTGGTTGTGTCTATGGTTGTGTCTCTTGATTATTATTGGTTAGTTTAAAGAAATCCTAGGCATGGCTAGCAGAGGCTTGGGCTTCCAGGAAGAAGCTCCTTGCTGAGCACATGGCTAATGGCTGCTGCCCAAAAATGGAGGATCCGGGGCAAGATGGAGGGCGTAGCCCTCGCCCTTTCATAGCATGCTCTGCACGTGCATGGTTCTCTCCTCTCTTTTCCTGAAATCATACTGCTCCACCTCATCTTCCTGATGAGAATGAATTCTCAACTCTTCACACACTCCCTGGTTCGTCTTATCCATGCCAGTCACCACCTACAAATGGAAGACTTCCTGACTCTATCCATCTGGCCCACAGACACGTGGCACAGGGGCCGGGTGTAGAGGGACTGTGTCAGGACGAGACTGCACTGCCCCACGAGCTGGGCCTGGGCCGGAACTGAGGCTGCTCTCTGCAACCTCCCTTAGGGACTGATGGTAATCGATGTTCCTTCGGAGAAGTCAGCATCCCTTCCAGGCCTCCTGCTATGTGCTGGTTCCTGGAACAGGCTGTTGTCCTGACCTGGTCAAGCACGTACAATCTCCCCTCCGTGGTGGCAATCCCATTCGATACCAGTGCCCATGCCTGTCTCCCCACCTTTAACCTGTGTAACCGCTGGAGCCCACCGAACGGTGCCAGGTTCCATTTTGTCTCCCATTCACCTAAGACACTCCTTGTATGTAAGTTTCCCTTAATAAACTCGTTAATGACCAGACTGGAGGGGCCAGACTTTTTTTTTCTTTCTTGTTTTTCCTTGCCCTCCACTTACCAAGGTAGATTTTTTGTCTTAGGGCTTTCTCCTGGGTCTGCATGTACAAGCACAGGGTCAACCAAGCCTGAAGATCTGGGTTCGATTCTGCCATGTGTCCTCTTTGTCACTTGGGACCGATGACTTCCTTTTAGTTTTCTCATCAATAAAATGGAGACCATAATGACACCTATATAGGCCCGTGTTTGAGAGTCCGCCGGAAGAACCTTGTCTGGCATATGGCAATCTCTCAATGTCACATGTTGTTCTGGGATGGAGTGTGTGACAACCTCCTCAGACGTCAGAGCTGGGCTGGGAGTGTTGTACCCTGTGGAGCTGGCCCCCCATTTCAGTGTGTTTCCTGTTCTTTCTTAAGCTGGGGGAGAAGGACCATGCAGAAGGGGTGAGGGGATGTATTTGCTCTTGAAGTCTGGCACTTGGGGAAGGGTGGACCCCACTTTATGGGATGTGCCCAGGGCTGCAGAGGAGCCTGAAGCCAAAGCTACAAAACATTTCCCCCAGATCAGTGCTTTAAAATGACATTTATCGCCCCAGCTGGTTTGGCTCAATGGATAGAGCATCAGCCTGCGGACTGAAGGGTCCCAGGTTCG